TTACACAATGGAATACTACTCAGCAATTAAAAACCAGGAAATCATGAAATTTGCAGGCAAATGGTGAGAACTAGAAAAGATCATCCTGAGTGAGGTATCCCAGAAGCAGAAAGACACACATGGTATATACTCACTTATAAGTGGATATTAGACATCTAATATAGGATAATCATTCTAAAATCTGTATACCTCAAGAAGCTAAGCAAGAAGGAGACCCTGGGTAAGATGTCAAAAGAGTATCTTAAAACACCAAAAATTTCCATTTCTTGCCAGCTTTGCTCTCTTCTAAATGGTAACCATTTCTGGGACTCTGTTCTACCCATAAGGACAGACACTGTGCATGTTGCTTTCAGTCCCATGAAGCATAGAACAACTCGTAGGATTTCCTGTTTCCTCTATGTCCCAAGGATCTGATTCACTTAAAAAGAGATTTTAAGCTTAAATTCATGCTGCTTCCTCTGTGTTAGGACCTCTGACATTAGCAAAAATCCCTGCACCTGTAAATACCATCCAAGGCTTCTACTTTCCCTCCACATACATTAAATTCTAATCCAAAACTGTGAGTGACCCTTTCAGACCCCTAACAACTTTATCAAGAAGCTTCTAAAATCTTCCACCATGCTGTTCATGGTCTGCGCCTCTGGAGTCGTGTTTTTGGAGAGATGTGCATGTTTTCTGGGCGTACCCTCTCATCAAAGGCCAGGCTAGCCCATCTCAGCTTCTTCAACTTTCAGTCTCTCTGCCGACAAGCAGTTCCCTGCACATGGGAGCATTCTCCCAGTGGCTTTAGGAATCGCTTACTCTGGCTTCTGGAGAAGCAACTGGAGGGGGTTGTGGCTTCGAAGCTTAGAGTTTCCCACACCCACCACACAGCTCTCTCCTGAAAGTCCCCTTTCTGTGTGAGGTAGCCATTTTTCACGCCTTCAGTTCCCTCACTCACACCATTGGCTGCTCTCTTTGCACAGCCATTTCTCTGGGGAACATGATGAAGAGGGCAGGCCAAGTTCATTTACAGGCTAACTCTCTTCTTCCAGCCGCCTATCATTCAGGCAATGCACTTCAAATCTAATGTCCAAATCTTGGAAAAGTTACTCATGACCACACACTTTGAAGCTTCAGAGATTCTTTGGAATACGACCCAGGGTTCCTCTGAATTTGTGCATTGGCTTCTATTTTTCCAGTGTTCATTTACACTTGTTCTAATGACGCCATGCAGTCTTACATACACTTTTCTGGGTGTTCATTTGATCTTGGTCCACTGGGTTCTGACTCTTTTCTTATGAGGACACATTTCCCCCCTGTTTCAGGGGCTGGGTCCTCCTACCTATTTGGACCACTTAGTGATTACCACCACCAAATGGTATGCCTGACAAAGGACACGCAAGGTCTTTGATGGACAACTGCTTCCACAGCAGTTCAGAGATGGTAATAGGAGAGTCACACATTTTTCTGGCCCCATATCTCAGATCCCGAATACTAATTCCGAATTACTGAGGAAGCCCCTAATCAAGCCACCAAGTCTTGAAGAAGCACTTCTTAGTGACTGCTCTTTCATCTTAGTCAATGGTGAGACTACTACCAAGTGGCTTAGATCTCTGATTCATAAGGCAAATGAGCATAGTTCCTAATATGGTAAGCATAATGATGAAATTAGACAAATGGATGAGTTTGAATTTCTGTGAACGAAGGCACAGGGGGGACAGTCCAGATGAAGAAGAGCAGGGAGAGTATATGGCTCTGGGGCTTAGGAAACCATGAGAGAGCTGGCAGCGTAGTAGGCCAGCTGCAGGAAGGACAGGCCTCAGGCCTCTAGAGTCTGCTGCTGGGCGTTACATCTCTGTGGCTCTGCTTATCTTCCTTCCCTCGTGAGCAGGCTTTCTTACTCTTGGCATCCCAGCAAAGGGAGACACCTTCTCTTTTCATGTAACAGCCCACGTTCCACTGCATTGAGTTATCCCCAAAGTAATTCTGGTAATGGCATGGGAAGCACATTGAAAGGCAAGCCTGCGCCCATGATGTTCACCTGAATGGGTTTTTAAATTACTCCCAGGTTATGAGTCCATGAATGGCATTAAAAACACCCCTAGAAGAAAAGCAGGCAAAGCTGTCACAGTGAATAGTGCTGTGCGCTGTCACTCTAGTGAGTAGTGTGATGGAGTTCAATAGTGCACCCCTCCTCTCTTCATAGGCGGAAGTCTCTGCTCCTAGACCACAGAATGTGGTTACTTTTGTAGATTAAAAAAAGTATTTTTGATTCTTCAAATGTTTTGTTTTATATGTATGGGTGTTTTGCCTGTGTGTATATCTGTGTACCATGTCTGTGCCTGGTGCCCTTGGAGGCTGGAAAGGGACATAAAAGCCATCATGTAGATGCCAGGAATCAAATCTGGGTCCTCTGGAAGAGCAGAGAGTACTCCTAACTGCTGAGCCATTTCACCAGCCTGACTGATGTTTTGTAAAAGGTAATTGAGTGTAACATGGTCACTATGGCCCTACTCCAATATTACTGGTGTCTTTATAAGACAAGGAAACATACCTAAGAAAGACCACGTGAGGACCCAGAAAGGAGAGGGCCATTAACACACCAAGGAGAGAGGCCTCAGGAAAAATAATACCTGCTGACTCCTTGACCTTAAACTTACAAGTTAAGAAGCCTTCAGAAATTTGAGGAGATAAATGCCTGCTTTTGAAGCCATCCAAGCATTCATACATTCTTATGCCACTCTAGAAGAATAAATAACACAGACCATAACAACAACAAAGTAAACAAACAAAACAACAACAAAAAAAAAAAAAACAAGAGGAGGTGGGTGAGCGAGGGCTGTTGAGGCAAATATAATGTAATTGTGGAAGAAATCAGAGAGTCTTCAAGGGCCGTCCTCAGGAAAGCTCTCCTGGACGGTCAAGGGCCAGGACCTGTGCTGACAAAGACTCGTGAACCGGGTAAGATGTTTAAGGAGATAAAAATAGAAAAGCCAGTGACACCGGCCTTGTCTGAGATGCCACTAAAGTGAAGCCTCAGGGATTCCACAGGAACAGAACACTGTATAAGGCAGCCAAGTTATAGGCGACACGCCTTCCTGTGGGGACTTTGCCTCAGACTGTCTGGATTCCTGATGTGGGGGTCCTGGATGGTTTAGAAATTCTCAGCATTCTTTCGACTCTTGGCTTTACCAGACATATGGTTGAATGTCTGCGTCAACGGATGGAGAGTCACTTGAATGTACGCATGAGCTCTTGGACATATGCACCAGTCAGGGCTTCTTGCCAGGCTAGCCTTCCTCGTGTGCTAGAGCAGACCAGGGGTCCAAACTCTGGTGAAGGCAAACCTTCTAATAGTCCCTGCAGGCCTTGACCTACTGTCCCACATCTCATCTCAGCTCTCTTCCACCAAGGGCCCACCCCCATAGAAAACCAGATGTTTCCATTATAGCTCTGTGTTGTAGAGGTTAACATGGTTAGCCTACACCTGATCCCAGGTGTAGCTCTGGGATCTGGTTCAGACTGTCCACAGCAGCAGACTATTTACCTCATTCAGGATCTGAGAGGGGCTCTTTCCCCACTGCAGATAGTTTAGTTCTGAGGACTCTGGAGAGGGAATAAATGCCAGGGCCCAAAGAGAGAAAAGGGAGCTCTGAGAAGGAAGGCTGATGGCACTTCCTGATTGCTGTTGATGTACTTGGATGAACAGTTGGAGATATCCTGAAACAAAGATTGGACTTGCCCCAAGGAACCCGATGGCCCTAGCCAGCAGGAAGTAGCTAAGAAAAACTATGCCTCTTCACTAACATTTTTTTCTCTCCTACCCAGTGTTGGGCCGTTGGAAGACATTGGGGTGGAGAAGGGAGAAAGAGATATTAAGAAGCGTAAATAAACAGATTTAAGACGTATGCTAACAGCTCTACCCAGATTTTAGCCTTTATCTACGTGGTTAACTTACCAGATCAAGCTACAGCTCTCATTCGGCTGTACTTGCCTTCACTCTGATCCTTGACCTTTACAAGTGACTCTAGTAATAGATAGTTCTAGTGGGCCATGTTGGGGAGACAAACTTGACACCACACTTAAGGCCCACCAACTTGTTTTTTTGGGCCCATGTTAAGATTTTACCACAAGCACCAAGGTATCTGAGACGGAAATGTCCACCCTTCAAGAGACTGTCAATATGGCAAACCCAGTTTCCCTTTGGGAAATTGTTTCTGTGAATAGGCAGAGACTATTCAAGATCCCAGTTCACAAGCCTCACCATCCCCAAGCACAGCACTGTAAAATGGCTAGGATGGGGTGGATAAATCCTTCACTGTTGACTCTTACCATATTATCCAGTATTACCCCATAATGCCCCCATATAACCCAATGGAGGACTTTCTGCTTTCGAATATATCCAAATAACGTTTCTGGCCACCAGATACTGTTTGTAGTCAAAATGCATTACTATCCCCACATAACAGATTCCAAGGAGGACAAATGAAATGTTTGAATAACCCAAGTATTATGGACTACTGAATACTGTTTTTCAATTTTATAGTCTTTTTTTTTTTCTTCCTGTAATCACCCACAGACATTTCTTTAAAAACAAACTCGATAATGTCAAAAGATGCAAAAGGCTAAACTCTTAGAAAACAAAGGGACCATAAATCAGGAAAACTTTGTGGTTACTGGAAAGACACTTTAATTTTGTAGACAAAAGGCTGCATTAAGGAAGAATAATGCAATAATCAAAGGTGAAGGGATCTCCATTGTCTAGCGTCTTTCTCTGTGGGAATTTTCCCACCCCTGACAGCTGTAAGGGGGGAGGAGCACTGACTGTGGCTGAGCCTTTCTTCTCTCAGCCCTCTGCTCCCCGTGTGCCCCCGCCCTGATCCGTCAGTAAATGTCTGCAATCATATTCTTGAGCTCCTGTGTGATTTCAAGGTTCATCTCTCCCATGCAGCTCAAACACTAATTATCCCAGCTGTAATTAGTAAGATAATTAAATACTGGCTCACTCCTCACTCTACCTTGGGTCGGGTCGTGATTCTCCCAGAAGACCTTGAGCAGTTCCTCAAAGCTGATGCGGTCTGGCCGGTACACAACCCGGACGACTTCTGCATGGCCGGTTTTTTCTAGAGAGAGACAGAACACACAGCCCAATTTTACTGATAACATCAAGTCATTGCAAGCTATTCGTGCTCAAAAGACCCTGTGGATGGAAGCTGAACTCTTCTCTCTGATGGAAGGCCATAAGTGTAATTGGATTTCAGTTGCTGGTCTCATCCCCAGCCTCTGTCCCCAGTTACAAAAGCAGAGCTGTCCTCCCTGGAGATTCCTGGGAAGAAGGCTTCTGTCTCCTTTCATATGAGGACTAAACTCCATTTTAATTTTTCTCCCTCCACCCTCCACACATTTATGCAGGTGTGTGGGTGCATGGGCGTGGGAACTCATATGGAGACTTAAAGTGGATGTCAGGAATTATTCCTGCTCACTGTTCTACCTTCTTCACAGAGGCAAGATTTCTCAGTCAAACCTAGAGATGGATTATACGGCTAGTCTTGTTGCCGGCTTGCTCTGAGGGTCTTCTATCTCTCCCTGCTGCTGGGATTACAGGCGGGCTGCTGTTTTTATGTGAGGATTCCGGGGATCTGAACTCTGGTCCAAATGCTTCCGCAGCAAGTGCTTTAACTGCTGAGCCATGTCCCCAGTGTGGATTTTCATTTTTCAAATCTCACTTTTACGAAGTCTAGAGCCGGTCAGTCTGACCCAATGCTCAGGACTGGACACGCTACCAAAGAAATTTTCCCAATTTCTTTTTACATCACACCAAATTACAAGGAGTAAGCTTAGTTGAAGTACAGATCAGAGTAGTGCCAGCGAGAGATACCTGCAGAAATAAACCGAGAACTCACTCCCATTAGCTAAATTAGCGGTGAGACACAATTGCTGTGCTCTGGACACTCGGGCTCGAGTTAGAGTCAAACACCCAGGAGGTTGCATTTCCTCAGCCTAATTCCTCTCTGTGAACACTATCAATGCTAGCAAAGGTCTTTCACAGAGCCAGCTGTAAGCAAGTTTACTGTCACAGGCAATCCCGAAGATTCCACAATGGGGAGGGAAGTACATGCCTCATAACTCTTAAGGTCATGTTCTTCCTATTGGCCAGTCTCAGAACCCTGTAATAACAGGCCTTCCCACGTGACACAAACTCCATATTCAAACCTGCTCACTCTCTCTTCTCTGTCACCTTCTGCATCATAAAGAGATTGGCCTTCTCCAAAGAGAGGCCTGGCCTTTGCCTTTGGTACCTGACTGAAAAACCATGAGATATCTAATAGAAATGAGACAGACTGTTCACAGTGGACTTCAGGATGAGGAGAACTAAACCCAGCAGTCTTAAGGTGGGACTTATCATGCAGAAAGAACCATGGAGCCCTGGGCTGGTGTGCTATTAGCTAAACAGGAGGCTGAACCCAGCCACACCGGGCAATTACTCTTTTGATCACGCTGACCCAATGAGTGATGCCTGTGTAAAATCCTGGGACACCGAAGCTTGGGTAGGTTTCACTGCTGGGCAACTGTCATGAGTGAATGATGGAGATTAACTTATCCCAGCTCTCCTGGCGAAAGAGCGGAAGTCCATGGAATCCATCCAGACACTGCACTTGGCCTCTCTGGCTGATCTGGAGCCCTGTCCTGTCCTGCTAATAAATCCTGACCATCGTTTCACTGAATGCTGATGGTCCTTCATATAGATGGCCAAGTGTGAGATAGTCTGCGTAGAGCTCTGAACTTAAGCCTCAGCAGGCGGGAGGGTTCACTGGCACGTGGGCTTTCTCACTTTAGTTGTGTCTGACAGCAGCTCCATTTTACAAACCAGACAGCCAAGATACAGGTAAGTTAGGCTCACCCAAGGCCACAGGCTTAGTGAATTTCACTGCTAAAACTTAAAAACACACGCCTTCTGACCTCATATCCAGGGGACACTCAGTATGTCAAAGGAGAGCGAGCAAGGTGAACATAGAAAACCTGAGCCCAGAAAGGAAATAAATTCTCCCATTCTCTCTAATCTTTTTAATATGTAAATTTCTTTTTGGTTACAGGAACAATATTTATGAACAATGTTAAGCCGAGAAGATGTAAGAAATGTAAGAGACAAGGAAGAATTAAAATCGCCCACTGCAATAAAGTTTGAGCAAACGCCAATTATAATGACTACATAACACCCCATCAGATGGTTGTCCGATTGCATCTTCATTCATTTTCTATCACTGGGCATTTACACGAAATCCTATTTCTAACCATGAATGTAAATATTTTCCCACACTTCAGAGACATCTCAAGCCACAGTTGAATAACTGGAATTTCTGAATCAACATTTATAAATATTGAAATTTCTTGGTCCCCAGTGCCATACATACTTCCCCTCAGTAAAGCTGGCTGCATTTTCCTGCCCCACGGGCAAGCATGAGGGCCAGTCTCTCTCACTGCTGTGATCTTCTTACTCCATATCCTTCATAGCGGGAGGAGAGGGTTCCGCTTCAGTGGGAATGGGTTCATATTACTGAAGTGAACACTGAATTTCCTGTTGATAGCCAATGTAGTTTTTTTCTTTGCCCTAATGTTTTTCATGTTTTTTTAATACAATGAGTTACTTGTAGCTACTATATTAAAGTTTTATTATTAATTAGTCAATCCATACAACTTTATTCAGATACCATGGTCATAGAATTTACTATCTCAGTATATTTTACATCTATTTATTGCTCTTTCCATTTTCACGTGCCTGCGGTGTTTACGTGTGTGTGTGTGAGCACGCACGTGTGGGTGCTCCTGTCTGGGTGTGTGTACCTGCAGAGGCCTGAGGTTGATGTCCACAATCACCTGAACCCTCTTCGACCTTATGCACTGAGGACGAGTCTCACAATCAAACCCAGAGGTTGCCAAAGACAACCTCTGTTCAGAGGCTGGGATTGCAGGTGAGCCGAATGCCCACCCAGCATTTAGACAGGTTCTGAGGATCTGAACTGTGGACTCATGCCGAGTGGCAATCACTTTAGCCCCTGAGCCTCTTCCCAGGCCCCTAAGTAGACGTTATGGTAACAGATATAAAGGGGGGGGGGGTTGTGAGAGCTTAGAAGACACAGCATGCACAACAGCTGTCTATTACACAGCTGATTTAATCATTTGAATGATTTAACTACTATAGTTATTAATGGCCCGATAATAGGAAAAGCATTAAGGGGCCGGGGAGATGACACACACACAAACACGCACTCATATATGTGTGCACATACACACACGCACACACACACACACACACACAGAGAGAGAGAGAGAGAGAGAGAGAGAGAGAGACAAAAGAAAGGACATTCCCGAACACACCACAGCATAGATGGACCTGAGGACGTTATGCCAAATGAAACAGGACAGCCGCCAAAAGACGCACACTAGATTGCATGTATGACTGCCACTGTTCTGTGCAGTCAGAATGGCAACATTTAATTACATGTGTGTTTCTTAACAGTATGTCACTGGCGTAGAAATGGCGGGGTACATTTTGTGGGCTTCTATGTATCTTCCCATTGCTGGGGATTACCCTCATGAGCTCTATTTCCTGACTCACGTCATCAGGGTACATGCACAGCTTCCTGGCTCTTGCCACATTTGCAAGGGACCTTTCTGAAATGACTTAGTCATTTTTGCCCTGTCATGGGTCAAATGAGGCAGGTCTCACCATCCCTTCAGCACCACCAACACACTTCCAAGCGGTTTTACAAGCAATAAGAGAGGGTCCCCTAATGTTCTAGTGTGCATTTATCTGCTTTTATTCAGTCACTACAAATGTTGGACATGTCTTGTGTAGCTGCTTGCTTTGTGAAGCACCTGCTTGCAGCTCTGACTTCCGTATCTTGTCAGGTTCCAATGGCTTTTCACACCAAATACGTTTGTCATGTTTATGGCATATTGTTTCCATTCTTGACATTCAGGGAGCCTAAATGCTTTGTGTGTGTGTGTGTGTGTGTGTGCATATATGTATGTGGTGTACTATGTATTCGTGTGTGTGTGTGTGAGTGTGTGTGTGTGTGTGTGTGTGTGTGTGTGTGTGTGTGTGGTGGTGGTGGTGGTGGTGGTGGTGGTGATGGTAAGAAGTCAGCATCAGGTTTCTTCCTCCAATCACTGTCCAAAGTATTTTTTTCTGAGACAGGGTTTCTCCTGAACCGGAGCCTGGTTGTTTGGCTAGGCTACCTAGGCAATAAGTTCTAGGGATCCACCCGTCCGTACCACTCACCCCAGCATTTGTTATAGAGAGGAGCCACCGTGCCAAGCTTTGGTACGTGGGTGCTTGAGATTCAAACCAAGGCCCCTAAGTTTGTGAGGAAGGCACCTCACCACGTGCCATGTGCAAACCATGTTTTGTTTATCCATCCATCCGCCAATGGACACTTGAGTTGCCCCTGCCCTTTAGCTTCTATGAACACAAGATACAAATACTGCTGTTTACTGGAGCAAGAAAGGCACTGCCTCCTCCACAGGTGGGCAAGCCAAGGCCTCTTCACAAGTTTTCTCACAGAAGTCACACATTTAGGAAGAAACAGGATCCAAGCCCACCGAGTTTTAAATAGAGGTGAGCTATTTGCCCATCCAATGGCCACAAGTAAGTATTTTAGAACAGAGGAGCCTGAAGTCTCCAGGAGAGAGCAAATGTCACACAAGCAGTGACCTATATGAAAAGTCGCACCTGTGCGGCTACGGATACCCAGGCCGTCAAAAATATTAGCTTTTTCGTTTGTGATAGCAATGTGGGGTCAAGAAGATTTTTTTTTTTAAATTTTCAGTGTGTGTCAGGGGACAGTGGTAGGAGAGGTGAGTGGTGGGAGATACATGCAGGTTGCATGTGTGGAGGCCAGAGGGCAACGCTGTGAAGTTGGTCCTGTCCTTCTATATTCCAGGGATCAAACACATGCTTTTGGAGGAAGCTCCATCCTATGAGCCATCTCGCTGGCCCAGGGAAGATTTCCACTCCCTAGCAAACACTTACAGCTCTGATTGCCACCGACATTATTTGTAAAGAGGCTTTAAGGAGCCTGACCATTTAAAGGAAACTATCATTCAAGTTCAAGCCCCAATT